GAGTGATCCGCTCATTATATAGTTTTTTACCCATTTCTGACATTTAGCAACTAACTGTCTGCCTGTTGTGGTTCCGAATGACCTCGACGATTTTCCTTTTATCAAATATATTTTTATTACTGTACCATTATAATGAGCCTAGTATCCCTCGAAACGTCAGTAATTTCTGCAATAGGATCTCTGTGTTACCATACAGCAAGAGAAATCTAATCTTCTTAAGAAAATTAGTCTCATTATTGAAGTTACTCTTTAGTTTAATTTGTTCATTCGTTTTCAGTGTCATCTATCCGGTTCGCTTTCCGCTGGTAAGTACTTGAGGTAAGCCTTTCCGGGCTCTGGTCACACAGTCCCATGGGCTGAATTTCAAATCGCAATAATGCTAGGTCTGGTTGGTTTGTTGTGTCGATTCGGATAATGTTTAAGGAGAGTCTTCATCTTGTTATGTCATTGTATAGCATATTGGTCAGTTTCATGGCTGATTACCCTGCGAGGTCATCACCAGTTGAATGTTCGTGTTTGAATTGGTCAGCTGTCGTAATGTTATATATGATGATTTAAACATTCATGAAAAGAAGCAAATAGGTTGTGACTTTTCGATGAGCAGTTACCCATTGAAAGAGAGTTTGCTGAATGCATTACATCTGTAAATTTAAGATGGCGATGGGATTTTCTAATTTATTGCTCGATGTCATAATTATATTAATTTGTGTTCATCCGCTGAAAATAATTAACTTTAATTTCAGGCAGTAAGTTGTAGTATATGTTATATCCTTGAATTTTTATAGTGTTATGCTGATGTAGTAACTTCAAATCTGGCATTAATTTTCTTGTGGCCGTACATCTCCTCCATACCATAATGCGATATTCTCCTAACTTCGAGATCGTTACTAAGTTTCTCTGCGATCCAAAAGTGAACTGGTATATTATCATTGTCATAAACAAACTTTTATTTAAAATTTATCTTCTTATGGTAAAGCTTAGGTGTCAGCGGCAGAAAACAAGTATATCAGATACCACGTCTCCGAATTCACGAGATGCCGTAGATTTAAGACCATACCCTTTGTTCTCTTTTCAGTTACTCGTACAGCATGCTTTGGAGATGTACTGTTTTGTTTGCATTTTCGGGCAACATAGATGGCTATCATAATATTAGTCTCCTTAAAGCACTTTATATTCTGTACCATTTCCACATTGAAAAGCATAGAAGACGAAACAACTTTGTACGATGACCGCCCTGATTATTTGCTAGCTTCATAGATCATTTGCTAGCCACCACAACAGACAGGACTGAAGCCTCGTGATATAGAAGCAAGATTAAAATCATGTGAAAGTATAAGAAACGGTACTTTACTACTGCTGAAATGTGATTTAAAGATACTAATGACATTTTGACCGTGTCGCAGACAGTGATATGTAGCGTCGGCCGTTTCAGCATCACATCAAACTGTTGGGAATCGCTATTGATTTCCACCATTGTATCTTTTCGTTGAATGGTTTACGATTCGATACCGTTGAGTAAGTCAGTAATTAATTTCAACTTGGTGATATTCTTGGAAATGAAGCACCGTTGGTTCTTGTGAAATACACATAATTACGCGACTTACACAATTATAGTAGAAGACTATAATTAATGATGGTTTGTGGGGATAATTTTCCAAGGTATTTACGCAGGTAATACCAGGGTATCAAGATGAACAACAATTATATCTTTATATAGCTACTTTATTTCGCTGTTTCACAAGCTTCGTAGGGACTATGAATTCGCAGCATATGCTCAAGTAGGGAACCTTCCATTTCAAGGTGGTGGGCTTCAAGTATGCCGGGCCAAACTTTATATTGTATGCCCTATTTTGAGGTTTGTGAGCTTTAATGAATACCGACAGATGGCTTCGGTTTGTATGTTTTCTAAAGCTTGCTTAAGATCCAATGAAGCTTAAATGCATAGCTTTTCATTTGGAATACCAAATGAAAGCGTATAGTAGTCCCGCGATTTACGTAATCCATCGAACGTTACTCGGAATTCTTGTATTTCTAGATGGCTGGGTCTTAAAATTGTCTTCACATAATAATTATTCTTTTTGCATTCGTACTTCCCTCAGGCCCCTAATGCGTTGTTCTTCAATTTATATTCCAGCTTAACTCATTTAGACAGAAAACCTAATCCTCCGCCATGCTACAGTCATGATTCTTATGCCATTTCTGTCAAGAACCATCTGTGAGACGAGTATCCATCTTAATGCTGAGAGGTTATCAAATTCTTTTGACTCTCTGTCAATATCTCTTAGAAGGCGACGTTGTCGAAAGTTCAACCGAACCATTTAGTAAGTTTCGAATAATGCACAAATGTTATATTGATCTTTAGGTTGAACCAAGAAAACTGTTGTAACAGCACAAGCTTAATTCTGTTGCTATGATCTGTAAAGTTTTCATGGTGGTCGCAAGTATTCTGTAGGAGCAGAGTTTTGATTAACAGTTATTCGTCTTGCAATAGGCCTTTAGTATCTGTTAACATGAGAACACATTATACTCAATGAAACTAGCTGAATTAAGCATGCCGTTTCCTTAGACGATAGGTATTTTTTGGATGACCAACAATGCCTTAAAATTCCTGATTGGTATGCTATTAAAAGTTTGATATTGGTGCGCTTTCACGCAAGCATATGTGATGTTGATTCTTTGCTGCTTTAACTGTAGATATCGACTTTTTTCAGTGGAAATTCACGTTCTGTATTCGCTTCAGAAAGACCTGTTTCGTCAACGTTGAAAAGATATTGTAAAATTATTGCTGTTTCGTAAACGAGAGTTTCAAGAAATGACGTTGGTTACACTCTGGCAACTGAATCTGCTCTCTGAGCTTTGCTGGTTATTTTGCGATATAACGTTTTGTTTATTTTGCACATCAGAACAGCCGTCTTTATCATCAACAAGCGCCATTTGCATCAGTCCTCTTGAAACGCGTTTGCTTGCTCTTGAAGGCGTGTCCTTAAAACGGGTACTTTTGCTGGCTTTTCTTTAAGTTTTAACAAACGTACTTTCCGTTTTCTCTGTAGCATTCGGACGAGCTCAAGTATTATTTTATCGTGATCTTAATATTTGTTTGGGCTGTATCTTATGAATGTTTTCACCCTTGTCAAGGATGGTAGTTGTTACGGAATCATTAAGACGTGCTTTTCTTATCACATCCAGATGTTGTATGTAATTCCATTTTAATATCTGAATAACGAGATGTAGCCTATTTTCTTCTGTATCATATCAGTATCGCATGACTCTTAGAACTCATCAAGTGTCTTTTTATGTGATAGCAAAATCGTACAACTTTTAACAATGCAGATTTTCTGTTTTACCTTGTAAGTTGCGCGAGGGATATTTAGTTTGTTTCTATTTACAGATATCTGTATGGCAACTTCCGTATTTATGACAGTGTTAGCTAAGGGGTAGCCATCATATGTTTGAAGAAAAACATAGGTAGCATATTATCTGTTGCTTAGTATTGCCTTAGTATTGTAAAGTATTACCTATTGCTTTGTAATCGATTCTTTCATACGCCTTTTGCGTTTTTGATTCTACCGTGATTTACCAATTTGTAGCTTATCATTTCTTTGATTCACGTACTGGTGGTTCCTCTTCACCAAACCACTGACGAAAACCGTACCGCAGTCCGGGAAGCTGCTTGTTTCAGCTTTTACTATAGTGATGTTGCGTGTTTTAGTATTTTGGAAATTATCTAATTCCTTTCTATTTCTTTGTGCATCTTCATCTTATATACTATTTATTTCTTCCTCACTCATGTCTTTGCTTATTTTCCTGTTCTTTATCCATTCTTTATTGCCGATAATACCTCGATGTTGCCTGCATCTTTGCTTATCCTGTTCTAACCTTAAATTTCTGCACTCTCTGCGGGTATAAGTTTATGCTGTATCTTGGCAATATGTTAAAACCACAGAATATCGGGTTGGTTGACATAACGAGTTAATTTCAGGTTATAAACTAATTATACCTTTAGCACGGGGTGCCATTTTTGTAAAAAGAAATCAGTTTTCAGAAATTTCCAAAAATTCAATATTGTGCATTTTCGTTTCTGAACTTCTCTACTGACTTCATCGCACGCACTTTTATCAGTTGAACCGTGTTTTACATAGCATCGTACTAACAATGCTTTGTACAAGAAAGCTTTAATTCATATCGTTTAGTCATCTGGCAGTGGCCAATCGCCTTCTGGAATCTCGCCGTATCCTTCTGATCGTCTTTACTACACACGATGCGTGGGATGGCGACACTTGTAAATTATTGATCGCCACTTCATAAACTATTAGATTTCCTACCCTTCCTCAGCTTCAGTGACAAAGCTTTACTTCCAATGAGCAAATGTCCCACTACACCGTAATCAGTTCGAGTTATACGTTGGAGTTCAGCGTAGTAATTTTGCTATCGCACCAAATCCGGATCGATATTTGAGACCGTTACACGTTTATGAACTGTGCTTAAAAGCTGTAGCGAACAAAATCAGACTAACAGGACAAATTTAATAAATGCCGAAGCAGTTGGTGCTTTCTTCCAGCCAAGAACTCATTATTCTGAGTTTTTAAGGATTTTTTATGCATCCTAGCAGCATTGAAATAGTAATGCTCTTCATCGCATCACACAGCATTCTTTTGAATACCAGAGAATATAAATGTTAAAAAAATTTATTGATTGAAAGATTGAAGCTGCCAGTGCATGTGTATTGTTAATTATAAAATGAGCATATCAAGTTTGTATCGGTAGTGATTACATTTACCTACCAGTGTAACGTAGTTTGTGAGCATAAGCGACTATATGTAGCATATACAGTGTAGAACTTAACTGGCCAGTTTCTATTCACTGCATTCGCATATCTTGAAAATGAAATTCCCGCAGACAATTTTTTTATCACGCTTTGCTGTAGGTTGCGATTACTTAAATGCACATTTACCATATTCATTTGTCATTTTTAAAATTGTGGTGCATTTTAGGCAGTCTAAATGCCGTGGTTCAGCATCGCAGTTAGTGTCGGCGATGGCGACAACTCCTGCCTTGATGGAATCGCTTGGATCTTCGACCATTTCGGTGTTTGTGTGGTAACCGCCCAAGATTATGCGTCTTTTGCCATCGGCTTGCTGTCGTTATGTGTCTGGTTCTTGCCGCTGATTCCGCAGATATACAAGAACTATGTTCGCGGTCATTGTGACGACGCACTGTCGATCTACTTCTTGTTGTTATGGTTTTTTGGAGACTCGCTGAACTTGGCTGGATCTCTGCTTAGCGGTCAGCTGCCCACGCAGATCTTTGTTGCCTTTTACTACATCATTCAAGACGCCGTCATTTTATCCCAGTATGCATACTACAAAATGAAAAATCGCTGGAGAGATCGGCTGATTCAGGATCTCGGTCCACCCACGGCGCCCAGCACCATGCGTTGTGTACTTTTTGGTGCTGTGTTGTGCCCAGCCTCGTTGTATTCATTCCGTACGTGGCACTCACGTCATCGACGCCATGTTAGTTTCCCGTTCACCTTGTCTTCTATTTTCCATGGAACAACGGACAAGGTCGGTTATGTTATGGGTTGGTTGTCTTGCCTGTGTTACCTGCTTGGCCGAGTCCCACAACTTATCAAAAATCTAAAGCGGCGGTCAACCGAAGGAGTAGCAATCGCGACCTTCTGGCTAATCATCGTTGGAAACCTTCTCTATGGTCTGTCGGTTCTACTCGGTGGTTCCAGTCTCAACTACTATATTCTCCATCTACCTTGGCTCTTTGGTAGTATAGGTTGTGTTTTCTTAGATGTTATTGTTTTGCTTCAACACTATGTTTGGTACAATTATCATCGCAACGCATCTGATGACGCTGTTTTGTTTATTGACAATGTATAATGTTCGTCCTAAAAAAGTTACCGTTTGAAATATAGCCCTTCACATGTGCGAAAAAATTATTTTTTAAAGATATTCGTTGATTGACGCTTATATTGTTATTCGATATGTTTGGTGTTGAAGTTGCAAAGTATTCTACAGAATTGCAATGCAGATATCGAATTTTTTGTTTTAAAAGGTGCATGCATATAATTGATATATCTGAACCGATATACTTAACTTTTGTTATCACGGATGGTTTAATGCATAATAAATACCTATTTCTGTGGTCAGGAAATTATTTATCATGATTGTTAACATTTCAATTAAATACTTTATGATAACTCGGTTCTGCTTTTTATCAACATGTGTATGAAGAAGATTCAGAGGCATATACTTGAAATGTCATTTTAACGCTTCGATCACTTAAGTTCCACCTTTTCAAGACAAATGGCTTTGGTCGTGACACTAATCTCCATTTTTTTTAAAAATCATCGTTTCGACTTCCTGCATAGCAGCCATGAGATTTATTTAACAAATAACGATAATATACCAAATGGATGAAATATTGCATGATAGCCAGTGGCGCAAAAGTCGAAGGCGCGTATGTACAAGTGAACAAGGAATATGCATATACAACAAAAATGAGTTTTACAGAAATGGATGAAAATGCAGAGAAAGTGTGTCGTCACAGAAAGCAGAAGTAGAAACTGTAAATGACGAAGACGAAACGTGAAAGTAACGGGATTCTGGTAATGGATTTCCAAATATATCAGATGTCGGTGGAGTTATTATGGTTATTATACATTTTCTTGCTCAGCAGAATATGCAAACTCCGTAATAAATAACCTGTCTTTTACGTAGTCAAGGGTAATGTTCGTAGTGTAGAATTGAAGTTATATTTCCATTTCAAGAAAGAGCTACAATGTCACGTTGATTAGAATAATTCATCATGATGACATCTTGGTGTTTTACTATTCTTACTTTAAGGGTACTCTAAGTTTTGCCAATATCATTGCTATCAGATTTTTTGCAGATTATCGATAAACGGAATTATCGTAGTCAACTTAGGAGTTTAATTTTTTGCACATAATGGATCTCAGCGGGCTGTGCATATTACAAAAAATTCGGATTCCTAATTTCTAAGGATAAAACATGCAGAACTGGTGCCAGGTTTATGGCGAATCGAAATGCCGAACGTTTGTTTTTCTGGCATGTCAGTTAATGCTGGATCCAGACAATGCCCTCACAGACGTTCTTTCATACAATGTATGGTTTATCCGACGGATCTGAAGCACATTTTTCAGTGGCATAAGTAACCATACGCTCTGGTCAACTTTAAATTTCGATCTATCGTAATTGCATTTCTCCACCCGTTGCCATTCGCGCATGTTCTCTCTGGGGTACGCATATGCTCGGTGAAAGCGATCCTTCATATCTGCTACCTAGTTATTATTTCTAGTTAATGGACGCCATCAGTACTAACGGATTACTAACGTTTCCATCGAGTCTTTTTTCTGTGACTGCTGCCCGTTGCATGATCTTTAGGGCTTGATTAACCGTTCTACGGGCCTATTCGACTGCAGATGATCGGGTTTCCCGTGATTTCTGTATTTGCAACTCCCGTCCGATCGCACCAATCAGATATGCTTCAAAACCTGTGACCTTCCGCAATTGCTCCGGCATGATAAAATTGGTCAATACTTCACTAAGCACGGTTTTCTGACCCTCGCAAGGTATTTAGGTGAATCACGATTATCATCATCAACTTTTGTCTATCCACTGGTGCAGGTCTTTATCGTAGACTACCGTTTTGTGCCATCTATTTTGAATATACTAACATCTTAAGCTCATCCTGCCATCAATCTGGAGAACCTTCAAGGGGCCGTTTACATTCTCTTGGAACCCAGGCTAACGTGTCTCTGGTCCATCGGTAGGCCTTATCGCAACGTGCAGCATGTCCTGCCCATTGCCAATTTAACTTGTTCATTCAGGCAATGACATTACAGACTCTTGACTATGTTTTTAACACTTAGTTCGCCTTTCAATCTTTTCTTGTTGTTTCCAACATGCATCTTTCTATGTGGCGTTGTCTGCAGCCCTTGAATAACTTTCAGACTTAGGATACACGGTTCGCACTGACAACAGACATATATCGAATACTTTCTGCTTCAAGCACAGGCGCACTTTCCTGGACAGGAACATTTTCGCGTTTCCAAAAGTTTCCATTCCATTTTTATTCTTCTGCTGTTTTAACATAATCTGTTCTTCGTTGCACAGATGGGCTGTTTGAAACAGTTCTAGCTTTGTACTCTCTCAAGACAAGGTCGAACAAATTCTATCTTTGATTTCTAATAAGTTGCTGTTTGTATTTCTTTTGGTTTTTTCGTGAGTTCTTCCGTTAACTTCGTGATTTTACGATTGAACATCGCTGACCATGTTCCGAAAATTCATTTCGCAGTATTTGTAATTGCTTTCGTCAGCTTGTTCTCCTCACATTCTGTGAAGGGTGTGGAATCGGCTGCTTAATTTCTGTAGGAATAAAGGGAGACTCTCTTCTGGTGTTCCCACACCAAGTGACTCTAGCATCTCGTCTTCAGCGATTTCCTTCATCCCAAAGCCGAGTCTATGTGGACGTTACATCTGTCGAGCCTCTGGTCGCTTCCAGAAACTGATGGCGAAAACAATTTCACTTTTAACGTCATTTTGGCCATTCCATGTCCATCCTTTCCTTCTTTTTTCTAAAAAAGGTGTTCATAATAACTTGTGATTTTCAGAAAACTCCACTAGTCGGTCACCCCTAACTTTTGTAGTAAACAAATTGGCTCACACCGTCTGCATTTCCTCGTCGAAAAGCTTCGCTGGTGTCAGGAAGAGAATGGTCTAACGACACTGGGTTATAACGAAGACCCTCTTTCTTAGAATGTAAATGAATCAGGCAACAATCTACTGCATCCTCGAAAGCAACTTAGCGCCGTCTCGTACGTGCAGTCATGTAGACTATAGACAGTACAGATAACTTCGGCTGGAGGAAGAAATCAAGAAGATTGAAAAACATCCAGAAAAGTCAAGTGACGAAGAGTGCTGAAGCGGACGGGACAGTTATCCATTGAGCTTAGGGCTCAATCGTCCCTATCCACGGCACTAAGGTTGTCACATTGGCAGGTCAGATGGAACGCCTGTAAAGGTAGGCTACCAAAAAATTTTCAACACTTTCTTATTGCAGTCCGATTTAAGCGTTGAAAACATCACTGAGGAACTCATAATGGTTGTTTCCATATTACTGTTATTATCCTACTACTTAATAGACATTTTCAATTTATTGATCAGAATGGCTTGATGTTGGCGCGCATACTTGGATCAACTGTTGGTGGACGATGCTCGGTCTCTTTGAAATGATCAAAAGCAGTCTTACTTATCGGTCTGAAGTGCTGTGCACTTGTAGTGCATTTTCTTTAATCTTTTTGGATGACGAATCCTGTTCCGCTTGTTCTTCCATTTGCCGATGTTACCAATTTTAAGCTCTTAAACTCCCTGCACCTTTCTTGTAACTTTGCTGAGTCCTGCAATGCCCACTTTGATTTTCCTAAGTTCTTGTTCTAGCTATCGCACCCGTGCTTAACCTACAAGTGATCTCCAGTTGTATGTTGACAGCGTTAGTAAATCGTAGCAGCTCCGATCCGTAACCAGCGCATCCCACCATCTTTCTTCATGTCTGACCAGCTGCTGCCTTCTTCAGTTCAGATTTTTGGTGTAAATGTAATGACCAAAGATGAAGAAGTTATTACAGGTTATTACGTCCAGCAGTTGGATTTTGCCACTAATAGTCAAGGTATTGTGAGGTTTACCGGTTTCTTTTCATTTTTCTTTTAAATATTTTTGAAGCAACAGTCTCGCCGAGCGAAGCTACACCAAGAGACTCCATGCTCAAGCTGTTAATGCCTGAGACAACAGCCTGCTGAATTCCTGGCAGCATTGACGCAGTATCTTTCGCCTGGAACTGCGGCTCTTTCATTACGCATTTTAGCATTTTACACTTTCGTACCTCAGGTGAGTGACTGATTATCATCCATTTAAAGTTTAACAAGATCCATTATGTCTAAGCATAATCGATCAATCAACAGAAGATTGTAGACACTTATGTGTTTTATTCACTTTCTTTCTGTGATCAGCCTGCATATAAAATGTTTGAAACTATTCAGGACTCTGGTGGGAGGATTGAAATTCCTTCGTTCTTTTGAATAGATGTTGCAGTTCTGTAGTTGCAAAGTCATCTCATCGTGATATTAACTTTTATTCCATATGATGAACTTTGGTCCTTTATCAGCTGAAAGCTGAATGAATCAATTCTTTCCAATTTTGCTTTTCAACTTTTTCTAAGGTTTCAATACGGAGCGGGGAAATAATACTTTTACAATGGAGCAAAATTTCTTAATTTTAAGACCTGCGTTGAAAAGAATTTCATTCATTTTTTCTCGAAGTTTTTGACCACACTTCAGGAAGCTCTTCTCAATGTCGCATACATACCTGACAACATTAGTGTGCCTCGTTGCAAGGCAGACGTTGGGACTAAATGTGACAATATCAGCCAGTTAGTAAGTCTGTCAGTTAGTCAAATTGCTGGTTAAACGCGAGTACATTATAATTTGTCAATTCTTTGATATATCAATAAAAGGTATTAAATAACAAAACAAGAAGTGAAAATAATTGATTCTTGTCAGACTAATCATAATCTGGTCCAATATAATTGTTCTTTCCCTTGGTGTCGATTAGAAATAGCACAGCGAGGGGAAAACTAACCATCGGTAAGCCTCAGTCCAACACTTCTAAGTAAAGTACATGAATTTAGTGCTTAATTGCTTTGAAAGCAAAAGGTACTTTTGAAACACTGGTACAAAGTACGATTTGAGTCCTTGAGAACAGAACTGCCCAAAACAACTGTTGCATTTATGAAGCATGCAACTAAGATGCAACCAAACTACAGAACTTCACAGTAACAGAGCTGGTCAAACAGTTTCAAAATGATCAGAATGCGAACCAAATGCACTCGCAGGGAAAAACTTGGGTTGTATGTCACAGCGAAACGTTGTAGATCGCCTTTGCAAAACTTAAACTTCTCGGAACAGTTTGCACGTCAGGCGAAGTTGATCCATGTTGTTATACCACTGCAAGGCGATATAATTCAGGTAGGTAAGACAGTAGCTTTCCTTCGTTTCGTTCTGTACAAAATTACAATCTATTTTGCGTACTTTGTTCAGCTGCCGTCATTCTTCGATTGAACCGTTTGTAATAATTTTGTAATTCGGAGAGCTTTGCTGCATTCAACCAGTAGAATTTTCATTTCTTCGTTCATTTGGCGTGACAAATGGTCATGAAAGTACCTCACTTGTTATATTTTCAGTGATTCACTTTTGTCTAACTTGAAATAAATTTACTCTAAAAAAAGCCATGAATGGTAAGCCCTTCAGTATAATTTGATGAAAAGTATAACTTCACACATCACCTTTATCATATCTAGAGTAGTAGGCTTTCGGTGATGAATAACCTTGCAGCAATGCCTCGTGTTGCCATAACATGCGACGTTTCATTACTCGTCGACAGAAAAAAGGGTGGCCTGAATAATTTCGTACAGACGGGATCCACAGTTCCGTCTGGCTTTTTGTAACAGTTGCTTCTCTAAGCCTTTGAGGGACTGTCGTCTAACAGCGAGGTAGCGGAAACAGTAGCAGTGCAGTCTTTAATTAAAAGGGGTATATAGCTTACTCCACGATATTAAACTATCATTGGACATTGTGACTTTTTCTCTAAAAAACGAACTTGTCGAGTTTTAATCCAGTCACTTTTTAGTGGTCTCACTGCTATCTGTTCGGGACTACATATTTGAAGCTAGGAACTGGAATATCTAGTGGTAGTTTTGCTCTCTTCGAAACCCCACGAATGCGTTACAAAGCCAGCAGCTAGGCATGCTGTTTGAAAGCAAATGTGGTTTTTCTGAAAGGCAAAAAATTTTTTGCGCTCGCATTAAATATTATATATTTAAACTTGCTTTCTGGAGACTTCGCTATAGTAGATTTTCTCTTTATGAGTAACAATTAAGCTAAACCTGAAAATAAAAATGATCTACTACTGTAGCAGTTCGTTCGGAATTGTTCATATGTTCATCTGCTAAAGATTAGTGGCGAATTTGGCTGGGCGCTATCAGACTTGAATGGCGCAATGAAGCTGTTAATTACGGCATGCTACGTCCCATTGATGCTGAGCGCCGATCTGTCCGTGTGCTATGGCGAGAAGCACCCTGGTCAATCAAAGAGCCTATCGTCAATCTCTAGTCTTTCAGAGCAACATAAGAATGAAGATGCCATGCGTTCGCATTTTAGAGACGTTCGCAAGTTGATCAAGCGGAAAAGTAGGAAATTGAAGAAGTTGAACGAGGAAATAAAGCAGTTGCGGGCGAGGATGCAATTAATGGGCGGCGGTGGCGGTAAACGAATGGCAGAAAGTAGACTTTTGTCGAAGGAAAGAAAGTTGAACGTCGGCGGCATCTTCGATTTCGACCTGGCTCGCTGGCAGAAGAGGGTCGACCGCCAACTGAGCGATTTGTACCAGCGAGTGGCGAAGATCAGCGAAGCGACCATCACCTCGTCGAAAAGGCGGCACTGGCCGGGCACGAAGGCCAAGAACAACAAATCGAAGAAGAAGCATGACGGTGCTTCAGCGGCCAAAATGGCCAGTGTCCATCTGCTGCAGAAGAATGCGATCGTCGACCGCGTGCGTCTTCCTCCCTTGTCATCATCATCGAAAATCTCGTCGGCCCTCAACTTCACGAAACGCGGCAACCAGGGTTCCGCCTGCTCCAGTCATCGTGATTGTAAACCAGGTAGTGCTGATCTTAATTTTAAGTTTTTTGTTGAAGTAGGCATGTTTGATTGCTTGAGGGGAGTCGGAGTGCAGAGAAACAATTACTAGAATTAGATCCTAAATAGATTATTTTCTTGTTGCATCTTTAAGTAATCTTAGTCTAACAGTAACGTCATCGGTAACATAACGTGTCGACTATCGAAACTGCTCTCAGCTACCCTAAACATGTATTAAGGAAGTATTCAGCTTCAAAATGAAGTCATTTTTGAAGGGCGTTACAGATTTTTCAGTATGTTTGGTGAAATCGCATTCTATTTCGGCTATCATGACGTGCATTATGACTTTTTTTATATGAGTTAGGGTTCTATGACCTACAGGATTATGTTTCGTTTATTGTGAAAGTGCAGAGTGAACGAGAAGCTTCTGCTGAACGGTCAACGGTTTGTTACGATCTTTACTCGTCTGTCTTTCAGAGTCAGTCGATCGTCGCACGAATATTATTAAACCTCAGGTCAAGAGGTTTCTTAAGCCGCACTCCAAAACGCTGACGTTAAAACTTTCGACCGAAACGAATAATTGATCCTTTGCTCTAAACAAATGTCGAGTTAAGCGTGTTTTTCTAATTTCGCTGTTCAGCCACCTGGTCGTCCCGAACAGATTTTTTGCTGATATGTATTTCATGTCGTGATCATTCGATCATTAATTCTGCGATTACCCGCTTATAGCAATTTGATCTTCAGTCTACATATAGGTCTGTTGGTTATTTTATTTTCGTAGATATTATTTGCCATTTAATTTGGGTATCTGTTCCTTTTTAATTAAATAAAAATGTAAGATTCTTATTAACCTGTTTTAATAACTTCATGCCTCAGCGTTCTAACAGCTGAAATTAATTGTTCATCTCTTTGGCCTTTCATTCTGTTTAAGTTTCTTCAGCTTCTCCTAGAAGCAAAGACCATTTTCAACAGCCCTGAAACCGTTTATACTGGGCTGTCGGCAATTAGTTAACGGGATGTATGTCTTCCCGAACCAAAGATCGATGTCTATGGTTCCATTTCTCAGTTTGGGTTAAGAGCGACTTACAGGCAGGATAATTTGGATTGTCGAGATTTGACATTTAGCACCACCCCAAGAGTCCTTCTGAAGAAAATCTCATTTTGGTGCATTCATTACTTCAAGCATTATTCAGGTAGCACGTGGAAACATGAATCGCTATTAAAAATATTAATGAATAAACGGTGATGTCATGATGAACGGTACAACAAAACTGTTTGCCTTGATGTCTGTCGGCAGTTCCGAGTTCCTTAAACTCTTGTACTTCGGGTGTGCACAGTACGTCGACTATCTCTTATTCAGGCTGAACCTTTATTCCAAGGATTCCTTCTCAGCTGATTCCATGTAGTATCGAAACGATCCAATCACTTTTGATGTCAACATGAAAAAAACGAACATGGGATATTGAATGGTCATTGAATATCTGTGGAGATCTCCACGTACGGACGCACATTGTGTTCCATTTCTCACGGCATAGCGTACCAAATGCAAGTGGTGATCAGTTGATATCCCTGCACTTCTCTTCACGCAAACATCCATTACTGAGCGTCTTAAGTCAGACGGTACAATTATCAAATCGATCATCGACTTCTGTGCACAAACCTTGGTACCAGGTGTACTGATGCACGCTTCGATGCTCGAAGGTGTTCATGATGGACAATCCGTTGTCTGCACAAAACCGCAGCAATTTCATGCCGTTGTTT